GCTGGGAAAGGTACCGGGGCCTAACCCTGTATTACCAATCAGGTCGGCCAGGTCAGTAGTAGAAAAAGATATCAATGCAACATCTGTGAGCCAAATCATAACACTCTCAATGAATAAGAGTAGTTGTAGGAGGAGCCAAATCATAACACTCTCAATGAATAAGAGGAGGAGGAGGAGGAGGAGGAGGAGGAGGAGGAGGAGGAGAAAGCCAACGAAAAACTGGATCGAAGTTGCACAAAGGAGGGCCAAGAAGTACAAACGAGGAGCTTCAATGTCATAGTACTCAGCCAAACACCGCATAAAAATCCACGCATGTCCCTCGACGCGTTTCGACTTGGTGCGTGCCCAAGTCTCATCAGGAGGTACTACCAGGTAAGTTAAACCCATATCTTGCCTCTATCTGACACCCTTCTTCTTTCCACCCTACGTCCTTCTACCTCGCCCTGTTGCCGGCATGTCAGGTTGGTGGTACACCCAGGTGCAATCTGCCTCCCCTCAGTCATCCCCTCGACAACGGTAAGACACCAGCACGATCCGGAGTGCATTCATACATTGGTGCATCTGAGAAGGAAAAGGTCGGGAATATATCCTGGCTCACACAGCAGAGAGTACACTCACTCTTCGAACCGCAGCATGCCGGGGTCCTGTCCACCGAGCCCCTGCAGACCTGGCGCCCGAATCCAGTGTGGTCCTGAACTGAGGTACCCTTCATCCAGCACCCGGAACTTAACACCAAACCGGGTTCGGATACATCGCGAGATCATTTTTTTCGGAGTGCCCAAAAAGGATTATAATGGACAAAAATAAAATAAAATAAAATAAAACTTTCTGCAGTATATAGGTACCAAAAATCCGGGTCTGCTGTCTGATTGGGACTCGTACACTCACTACGAGGTGTGTGTGCCCAAAAAATGTTCGCGTGTAACTGTACCTACATACGAAAAAACCGGTAGAGGAACGGAAAAAGGATCCAAAATAGGTGTGAGTTATACCTTCTGAACTAGCTCCGGAAGGGACCAAAAATTTGGCAGTGGGGTATACCTGTTGGATCCAAGATCCTCAGGTACCGCCCACAACCTTGGTGACCCTAGGAACCGAAGAAGAAGAGGAAGAAGAAGAAGAGGAAGAAGAAGAAGAAGAAGAAGAAGAAGAAGAAGAAGTACATACATACATACATACATACATACATACATACATACATACATACATACATAATAATAATAATAATAAGAAGAAGAAGAAGAACAAGAAGAACAAGAAGAAGAAGCATTGCCAAGAAGAAGAAGAAGAAGAAGACAGATTCTAAAGCGTAGAAAGTCCACGAGCACATCCAGCTCGTAAAAAATTGGAATAGAAGCTGAAAAAGTATGATGAAACACCGTGTCCATGAAGCTCTTCGACTACTGGTGATAACCCAGGTTGCCCACTGGCAGGCGGCCCCACCATGCAAGGCCAGGGAAGGTCCCTGCAAAAAAAAAAAAAAAAAAAAAGAACGGAAGGAAAAAAACTATGTTGCCTGCAAAAAAAAGAAAAAAAAAAGAACGGAAGGAAAAAAACTATGTTGTGCAGAAGAACAACTTGCATGTGGTCACATTGGAATTCTTTGCCAATTTTAAATAAAAAGAATAACGGGGTAACTTCAGCGCAGTCACGCATTTCAAAACAGTTCGGAAAAAAAAAACAGTTTGAAAATGCACTCTAGGCAATCTGGCAAACACAAACACCACCATGTGACCTCACCGGACCCCGAACCTACCAGGTTATATACATTCACCATTACGGTCCCATTTGCCTCAACTGCATTTTCAAACTCGAACCCTGAATGTGCCATATTGTTTTACTCTGTTTTGGCCCCGCTGAGCAAGTGGCCCAGCCTCCCAGGGGCACTCTTGCAACTTACCGTCTTCACCCGAATAGAACGCCCAGTCATTATAGCTGTTTTTGGTGCAGCTTTCACCAGGCGTTCTATTCGGGCGACGACGGTAGTCTCAGCCTGTTTTTTTAATCAATTTTCCATCATCCTGCAGTTGCCTGTGACGGTATGCCTAATGAATGTGATATGACTACCTCCTTCACCCATCCGAATGCAACGTAAGGTCATTACAATTGCTGTATTTAGACTAAAAGATACCCCAAATACAGCTAATATATAATTACCGTACATTTTATTCAGGTGAAGACCGTCCATGTAGCTTGATCTCTGATCCTCCTACTTCAAATGTCGGTACGTTCGTCGTTGTAGCCCTGATAGATCTGCAGCCAGACGGAATTGAATCTAGCCAATCAGTCCTTCAGCATACTCACTGTAGGAAATTTTGGACACATGACTCAGATGATGACTGGTCTTGCCAATCGGTCTTCAGCATACTCAGTATAGGGATTTGTGGACCCATCTCTGGACCTGATTACGGTCAGATGCATGGAGGTGAAGCCACAGTTTGGGTCAGATACATCCAGGAATTCAAAGTCCTAGTCTGAGTATGCTCTCAGTTACAAATTTGATAATATTTTAACGACTTACTGTAAGTCATTGAAGTTACTGTATCAAATTTCCGGCCCAGGGGGGGGTTATAAATTATAATTATAATTATTATATTATCATATTATGATGTTCATGACTTTTTTTTTTCTTTTTCTTTTTCTTTCTGTTCCTCCAGACGGCTCCTAGATTTCTGAAGTGACATGTGGTTAAATTTGAAATATTTTTCTTCATGTGCCCAAATTGAGATGCATTTTTTTTTTTCCCACTATTTTTTGGACAATTTTTCATCCTTTGAGAGGCCATATGAAAGAGCATGTTGCCATATGAAAGAGCATGTTGCCACTCCGGTTTGATCATCCTCCAGTTAGCATATACTAATTTGGCCATAACAGTGACCAGGTACATCCAATAGAGTGCCTTGAAGCATACCATGCTGAGCATACGGCGTCCTTAGGACCCCCTATGCTAAACATGGTATGCTGCACAGGGGAATTATAAAAAAAAAATGGTCAAAATGGGTTTAAAAAAGAAGTCCCAATTCGGTCACAATCCGTTAAAATTGGAAGGATACAGAGAAGATTAGCATGGCCCCTCCACAAGGATGACACGCATAATTCGACAAATGGTCCACTTTTTCAAAAAATAAAATAAAACCGAGTGTCAGTGTCTTCCTACAAGGTAGTATCATCAATTTCATTCGTGTGACAGGAATACTTCAGTGTTTTTTTTTTTTTTTTTTTTTTTTTTTTTTATCTTAGTGCGATGACTTTACCCCTCGGCAAGGACCCCCTGCAGCGAGCGTATGCCAGCCCTAAGTAAAGGCGGGCCCCCAAATCTTAATGAGGCTTGAATTCGTCAAGTTTGGAAAATCTTGTCGGGCGCCAGACAGTTGCCACGCGCCAGCTGATTACATCCGCCCAGCACGTGAGAATCTGAAATATTCGTCAGTCTTCCACGATCTTCAAGCAACGTGGTGAAACCAGGGAACACCACACGTTTGTGCCTGGGTAGTTGGGCTTGCGGCGTGCCTAACCAATTCGGTCCCAGGCCACACTGTCGAACCGGGCCTGGCCGCAGAGTCGCAGACACTTTGGCCGAAACTGACGCTACTGGAAACTCGGTCTCACGGGGGCAAGCCTGTGGCAACAAGCCCGGCACTTCGGATATAGGAAAGGGCCAGGTTGCGTACGGGGTATTCGGGCACTTGGAGGTGCGAGCGGCAGCGCTGCTGGAGCAGGAGCTCGCGGCTGCTTGCTTAGCGCTAGCGCAAGTGCCAGGCACGCGCGGGCGTAGGGAAGCAGGGCGCTGCACTAAGGCAGCGCCATAGCGGAGCCCCCAGAGTCGGGCTCCAGCTTGGATGGTCAGCGGAGGTGGTGGTGGTCTTCGTATATGAGGGAGAAGACGTGGGTGAAGAAGACAAGGGAGAGAGAGAGAGAGAGAGAGAGAGAGAGAGAGAGAGAGAGAGAGAGAGAGANGGCACTTACCTGGTCTCGGCGATGGTCTACAGGGTCGACATCTTCATGTACTTCCGAATAGGTTCTTGCTGCTGACGTCAACAGGTTGCATTATCAATTCGTAGGCTGGGTAGTAGCTGTGTGATCTTAGTCTGGGCGCTGAGCGCCGAGGAGGACGGGCTCTGAATACATATTGTGCCCGTCGGTGGTGGCGAGAGTACGGCATTGCTGTCATTGACATTCGGATTCGGTGCTTTGGTTCTCCGTTGGTGGAATACCAGTCAGTGGATATCTGCCTTTTTTTTTTTTTTTTTTTTTTTTTTACAAATCAACTTTGCAATTCATTATAGCAAGAGCCCGATTGACTTTCTGGCTTTCAATGTGATTTTGCATAATTCTGGAATTCTCGCTCATTTTCTTTGCACTGCTTGCAGTAGGGAATTTGATTATACAAGCCGCCGAAACCGGGAACCGGCTTCTCTTCAAAATATTGTTGTGCAGCTTGTGCTACCCTCTACAGTGGTTCCGTAGTCCTGCAATCAAAGACTTTTTCTTTCCTTTTTTTTTTTTTTTTGTCACCGTTTTTTTTGTTTAATAAAGAAATTAATTTCCAAAAATTCCGTCGCAAAACCTCTCTTTTTTCTCCTACATGCCGAACACTGTGTTTGTTTACTAAAGAATTCAATTTCCAAAAAATTCCATCACAAAACCTGTCTTCTTCTTCTTCTTCTTTTTTTTTTTTTTTTTTTTTTTTTTTTAATGATCAGATATTAAACTGATCAGAACAGATACTACACTTGATCTTAGCCAAAAGGCCGAGGAAAAAAAAAAAAAAAAAAAAAGGCCGAGAAAGGTATAAACCTGTCTTTTTTCCCCTACATGCCAAATACAGGGTAAAAAAAAAAAAAAAAAAAGAAACTGCCCAGTTACTCGGCTTGACTCGGACGTGTATTTTCCTTTCTTTTTCTTGCTGTATTTTCCATCGTCTTTCTTTTGTCTACAACTTTACATTTAATAAATGTTTCATCTTTGATGTAGTGTTGAAGCAGAGCTTCAGAGGGCACTGGAAGTGAAGAAGGCCGCCACTTTGGAGCAGGAGAGAGGACTCAGCCTGCGTATCAATACTTTGAACAAACGCCTTGCCAAGCATGTAAGGTGAGGAGACTGACAAGGAAGGGTTAAAGGGGGTGTGTGGGGAGTGGAGGGGGAGGGGGTGTAGGCTGGGGGGGAAGATGTTTGCTGTCAATGGCATGTGATCAATCAGCCTCTGAATTTTTTGGGGGCAAACTACGCGGAAATCACAGAAAAAGTTTATAAATGCATTCCAAACAGGATTTCTTCAGTCTACTGCAGTCCAAACTCCAATTTGCGGAAAAGTTGCCGCCGAGTTAGAGACTGCAATCTAGTCCCTCATGGGGGAGGGCCAGGTAGAGACTCTACAGGCCCTGACACAGGCTGTTTATGAATGTACAATCCCACGGTCATGTTCTGAGACTCTGAGACAGTGAAAATTTGCACAGAACTCTCTCTCTCTCTCTCTCTCTCTCTCTCTCTCTCTCTCTCTCTCTCTCTCTCTCTCTCTCTCTCTCTCTCTYTGTGTGTGTGTGTGTGTGTGTGTGTGTGTGTGTGTGTGTGTGGTGTGTGTGTGTGTGTGTGTGTGTGGGCACATTTTCACACTAGCAATTTCCCGAATGTACATGGGATTATACGTTTCGGAACAAAAGGTTTTTCCTACGCCTGTGTTAGGCCCTGCCCGTAGTTTGCTGAGCCATAGTTGCTGGGACAATTGGTAGAAAGAGCCCACGCCAAAACCTTTCCGGTTTTGGGCGCCCGAAACTCGGCCGTTTGGTACTACGGGCCCAAACAACCTTCCCCTGGGTGAAAGGCGCCTGCGTTGCTCCTTCCTTGGTTTATTGTATTGCTGCTGGCCTTGCCATTGCCTGCCATTCTGCCTATTTGGACAGTTGCGAGCATAATGCCCGCGCTCCCCACAATTATAGCAATGCCCGCCGTCAGGTGCTGCTGGTGGAGGAGGTGGAGTTGGAGGCCGGGGTGTACGGGCAGTTGCTGGCACAGCATGATTGGATTGGTAGGGACGGAGTTGGGGTTCATCTGGGGGGGGTACATTACATGGTTATCTACAAGTCGCTAGCTTAATGTTTATTAACAGGTTTGTTCAACGACTCTGTAAGGTACGTACGACCTTAGTGGGCCCAGAGTAACCACACTTCTTATGATCTCACAAGGTTTTGCAGCATGTAGGAATTCCGTTCCGTCTACTACTACGGAGGTTTAGGGCGTCGCCGCACGGCACACGAAACGGAAAACGAAACGAGTGCATCTTCCTGCAGGAAAGGGCCAGGTTCGTCGGTTTGCTATAAAGAGTAACGAGTGTATTTTGCCATTGCCACCTTCCGTGGGCAGATGCAGTCGTTTCGTTTTCGTTTCGAGTTCTGTGGGGCGAGGCCCTTAGTCCAGTTAATAGGCAGCCTTCTACTTCTACGGGCGTCGCCGCACTGGACACGTAACGAAATAGTAACGATTGCATCTTCGCGCAGAAAATGGCCAGGTTCATCGGTTTGCTATAAATAGTAACGAGTGTATTTTGCCACCTTTCCTGGGCACAGATGCACTCGTTTCGTTTTCGTTTCGTGCGCCGTGCGGCGAGAGCCTACGTCTAATAGCATCTGGTGTCGACATACTTGGCTGTTCAGGTGACGGGGAACGTTAAATCGCAGTCCGCTAAGATACCGTCTTCACCCGAATAGAACGCCGGGTCATTATCGCGGCATCTGGCCGAAAGTTGTGCCAAATACAGCTATAATGACCGGGCGTTCTATTTGGGTGAAGACAGTAGCTCTCACCAAATTAACTGCGTTATCCTAAACCAACAATCACCAACAACAGTCTTCCCCCGAATACAACGTACGGTCATTATAGCTGAATTTATTAGACTGAAAGATGCCCCAAATTCAGCTTAATGACCGTACGTTGTATTCGGCGGAAGACTGTAGTCCACCTCCTTGGCACTAACTTCCCACGTCGATTTCACTACTACAACTCATCGCACTTCTTCGGCAATACAACTCTCGTTAATTACCTCCCAGCAAGCGTAGTATACGAACGATAGTACCTCACTATAGTACCAGCAAAGTCGTACGCTAGCTCCCAAGTCATTAGCCATACGAATATAGAATACCACTAAGTGACATAGGGAAACCCGGTACAAGCAAACTGTACGAATGTTAAGTGCCCACGGAAGAACTCAGGCACACCGTTACAAGATCACGTAACTCTTCATTGTGCTCGTCTAGTTTACTCCACTAATTAACCACCTCTCTCTCTCTCTCTCTCTCTCTCTCTCTCTCTCTCTCTCTCTCTCTCTTCTATTTTTTCCCTTTTTTTTGCTTTTTTTTTCACACCCCCTGCTCTGCTAATGGTACTGGTAAAAGCAGGTGCTCCTCTCATTACCAGCATCTACGGTTATTGTCTATCGACAATATCCCTGGTGCCACTTTCCTCACCGCCTACACATAAGGCGTTACTTCGTCTATTGATCGACGTATTCCAAATCATGCCTTCTTCACCGATCACTGATACCTTTCACTAGTTTTTTTTTTTTTTTTTTTTTTTTTTTTTTTTTTTTTTTTTACGCTATGTTCTTCTCCCAATTTCACCTCACACTACCTACCTGCCATACTCCTAATTGTAGGCATACGGGGAACCCCATAGCAGCCAGAACCATGTTCAGGAGAGAACATGCGGGGGCTGCTCCCGACCTGCAGGTGGGCGATACCGGCTACGTAGGGGACAGCCGGTAGCATCAGGGACTATGCCAACAGGACCAATCCCTGTGCCTCCCCTCAGGTGGTGGTCCCCTCCCCTACGAACATCAGCAGACTCTACCACTTCCACCTCTCATAGATCTCGTATGTCAACCAACACCTGTGGATCATCTGTCCACACGTGACTTTTGTGACGTAGAGCCTATTTATAAAATAAATAGACCAGCGGGCATATATACAGCAAGTCCTCGATATATATATATATATATCGTCACAAACAGAACTGCCCGGTAAACCGTAGGCAGAGAGAGAGAGGAGGACAACAAACGAGGGGCTGTAACAAACTGTTTCGTCGAATTTCACCGACTATTTGACGATATATATATATCGTCACAAACAGATATATACATATATATATATATCGTCACAAACAGAACTGCCCGGTAAACCTTAGGCAGAGAGAGAGAAGAGGACAACAAACGAGGGGCTGTGACAAACTGTTTCGTCGGAGTTTCACCGACTCATCAGGAGGCTGAACCCTCAACCGTCTGCAGAATCCCCTCACTGATTACACT